TATTAGACGTATTTCCAGTGGGCAAGTTATCACCAGAGTTGAGGACGTGGTGAAAGAGCTTATCGAGTAAATAAATAGCAGGAGTTTTTTCTTCGTGACCTATTGAATTTTCTAAATGAGATTGTAATTGGAATTTGTATTTAAAAACAAGGAATTCTATTGACGCACAAGCAACTTCAATAGAAGTGAGGCTGGTCGGAGACGGACTTAATTCCATTGTGGTATGTTTTTCAGAGCCAAACATAGATATCATTTTCAATAGTTTTATTAATTATTTATAAACGCGTTCTTTTGATTATAAAAGGTTAAAGATAATGGATCGGGAATTCCGGAAAATGATAGACCAGTGATGGCATTAAGGTATCATACTTCGAAATTAGAGGATTTTGGAGGATTGAGTAAAGTAGAAACATATGGATTCAGAGGTAAACATAATTTATATTCATAATTAATTATGTTCATATACCCATATTTAATTTTACATGTATTTCAGGCGAAGCCCTCAATTCAATCTGTGCTGTATCCGAGTCTACACAAATAACTACCAAAACCTCTAAAGATCCGGTAGCTATAAATTATTCGCTTGATCGAACGGGAAAAATTGTAGAGTAAATATTAAGTTTGTTACATTCAAATTTAATCGCACTAATATGAAGTATTGACAAGCTTTTATAGTTCAAAACCAGTTGGGATTACTGAAGGAACAACTGTTATGGTTATGATGCTGTTTTCACACGTTCCAGTTCGTAGACAAGTATGACTTTACCTACTATTTATTCATTATTATCGGTCCTTTATATAAATCGTGATATTGATGGTGTTAATAATATTATAGACTGCTCAAAGGAATTCATCAAAAGTCGGGAAAGCAGTACAAAACCTTTTAACAACTTATGCCCTTGCACATCCACATATTCGCTTTTTTCTCAAACTAATATATGACAATGCTGCAAGGTTAAATTTCAAAGCTGGTGAATGGATTCTTCCATCAATGAAAAGTCAGATGCAATCGTTAAATGAACTTTATGGTGTTGAGTTCACAAACAATGTTGAATTTGTTGTCTGGGATACAGATAAAGAGACTTCCTTAGAAATAGACAATGAGAATTGTGACATATTAGATGGATCAAATTGTGCAAAAAGTAAAATTATAATTGAAGCCATATTACCAAAGCCAGATGCGAGTAGGTGTGAAATGAATTTTTTAATTCCATATATTTAACTAAACTTGTAATCTTATCATTGTTTTTGTTCTGTAGAACCACACATTATTTTTAAGAACGGTCAAAGTTTCATTTATGTTAATAATCGTCCAGTAACTGCAACCAGAGGAGAAATAAAAAATATTGTATCCATCGTAAAATCAACCTACACAGAAATTGCGTGTAAACATGGTTGGACTGGTAAGAATAAAAGCTCTATTAGTTTATTTGATTTTCTGATACCTGTCGTTTATTCTTTTACCTTTCTGAATTTTATAGCAAATAAAAAGACTCCATTTATGTGGATAAATATTAAGTTACCAACTTATGATTATGACAGTAAGCTAGCACTATTTAAGATATATTAATCATTTACCATTTTTCTTTCAATTTAAAATAGTTGACTAACTTCTATATAATTTCTTAATCTGCTTTATCATCAATATTTTACTCAAGTTAATGTTGAACCCAGCAAAAATGTCGTATTTTTTCATAATGGTGAACAAATCTCAAGTGCGATCGAAAAGTTGTTGATTAATGTGTACGGTAGCTGCCAAACTGTGACAGAAGAAGAAGAGTATAGGTACATTATCATTCTATTTCATTATAATTAATTTAGATATTAACAATCGTGCAATGTCCCCTTATAGTGTTGGAAAGATTCCAAAAGTTGGTCTTGAAGATTCATCATCACCCAATCTTAATTTGTCACCAATTTCTACGGAATTACTCTACTTATCTTCTAGCGAACCATCATTAGCTGGTGATGTAGTAGTTAGTTCGTCATCTGTTTATCAAAGATCACCAGAAACGACATCCCAAAATGATCCTGAATTAGTTTTTTCAGATGTAGATAATTTAAATGAGCCGTTATCTGGAAACCAAGTTGTTTCTGATAAAAAAAAGGGAAAGATGACGGATCATGGGTCAACTACATCACAAGTGTCAGACCAGGGTACGAAGAAAAAAGCGAATAAAGAAAAAAAAAATGATTCCAAAACATCTCGATTACTTGATGAATGGTACAAGACTGCGCAAACATCAGATATTCCAACTACACTTCCCATTGTTAGTCCGTCGAGTACTCCACCACATACTAATAATTTGCAACATAAAGATCGTAGAGGTTCGAAAAGTATGATAAATCCCCCACAAAATAACTCAACAACATTGTCATATGGTTCTATAAACATTGCATATGAAGAAAGTGATAATGACGGAGAATACGATTTTCAAAATAACAAAAGTAACAAAGGTTCTAATCAAAGTAAGCAAAGAAAGAATTCTCGTGATGAAGGGCCAGTACGTAAACGTTCAGCATTGGATGATACGGAAAATATCACACGTAACACAGAACAATTCGATAATGAAAATTCAGACGATACTTATCATGAAAACGAAGGCTATACACGTAAACGTTCAAGGACTGATGACATTGAAGACATAGCCCCATCTCAAGGGACATCCATTGATAATTGTGAAAATGATCTTGAACCAACATCAGCAGATATTATGAATGCTCATGAGCCAACGCCACCCGAGTCTACCGACGAGACAAACATTCCAGAGCGAATAACGCCCGATTCTGAAGGCGGCGTTAATGTTTCCGAACAATCGCAACGCGAACTGGTGGGATCAAAAGTATCTCCAAAAAAACAATCAAACCAAAGATCAGGCGTTAGAACTATCGTAATTGGACAACCTACTATTGATGCTACTTCTAGATCAGATGGCGCAAGTAATGTGCCTACAAATGACGACGTTAATAGATGTCAAGAAACATTCAAGCGTAAAGCAACCCAAGATGCTCGTAAAGCATTAGGATTTACTGATACATTAAATCATGAATTGATATTGAAGTTTGACAAGCAAATTATTTGTCGCAAGAAAAATTCTTTGGAGTCTTCTGTTAAGTTTGTTGACGTTTCGTCTTCAATAACTTGTTTAAATAAGATGGATTGCGGCCTATGGACCTTGTCAAGAAAATTAAATGATAATGTCGTAAATCTATTGATCGTACACGGAGAAAGGTCAGTTTATTTAATTTACGAATAGTAAGAAGTCATGTAAAGTTCTTAATTTTTTTTTTTATAAAATGCAGGATACGTGAATTGGTTACTTTACAAACTTTGGTAACTTCGACGGAGCTACTGCCAACAAGAAAATTAACAACACCTATTGATATGGAATTAGAGTAAATTAATTTCTTGACTTTATTCAAAAGTCAAAAATGATGTATTCTATCTTATTTCTGATCTCTATATGTTTTAGACTTCTTGGGTCCGATCGCATAATATCGTGCCTAAAATCACTTTCATATGACCAAATACCGGATGAAAATGGTGCCGGTGTTTGGTGGAATATGATCAGTCAAAAATGTATTACTGCCAACGGAGTGAAAGTACGGTGGAGAGAAGATTGTAAGCTGAGTTTTGTGGATTTAAATTATTTACTTGAAATATTTATTAGTTAATATATTCATTTTCTTGATTGACAAGATATATTTGCTTTCCGGAACGTATGGCGTAGAGGTTTAGCAAAACATTATA